ACAATATCAATAATAATAATTATAATAACAATGATAGTAGAAATGATAATTAATATTAATGACAATGATAATAACAGTAACAAAGACAATGACAATAATAACCATAATGATAATATAAATACTACTACTACCAATAACAATACTAATAGAAATAGAGATAGAATAGTAACAGTTATAGAACTTGCTACTATTGATACTACTACTACTATTACTACCATTAATGATCATATAATAATAATAATCATAATAATAATTATAATACTTATAATCAATAGCAATAATGAAAAAATAACTAACTAACAACAACAATAACAGTGGTGGTGGATAACAACAATAACAATAACAATAATAATAAATAAAAATAACACTAATTAATAACAAGAGCAATGACAACAATACTAATAATGACGGCGATATTAATAGCGGTAATAGCAGTAATGAATAATTATAATAATAATAATAATAATAACAATAATAATAATCATTGCTTTTCAATGACTGACAGAGCAACAATTAATAATAACAAATAACAATTATAATAACAAATAATTATGGTTATTCAGAAAATTAAAAATATATTACAATGAAAAACAACAAAAACAAGAATGAATAATAACAACAATAAAAAGAACAATAGTAACAGAATCTGTAAAAGTAATAGTAATAACAATAATAATAATAATAATGACAATAAAAAATAACAAAAATAATGATGTAAGCAATAATAATAAGTAATAATAATAATAATAATAATAATAATAATAATAATAATAACAATAATAACAATGATGATAATATTATCAATAATGATAAAAACAACAATAGCAATACTAATAACAATAATAATAATAGTAATATTGATGAAAAAACTAACAATAGCAATGACAATATGAACAACGATAACAATAATAACAATAGCAGTATAATCCATAATCTTAATGATTATCATATCATATAATCATCACCATAATGACAATAACAATATCAATAACAAAAACAAACAAAATCAAAAACGAAAATAAAATAATAACAACAACTATGACAATAATAATAATGATAACAACAACAACAATAATATTATTATTAAATTATTATTGTTATTAATATTATTATTATTATTATTATTATTATTATTATTATTATTATCATCATTATTATTATCATTATTATTATTATTAACAATAATAATTTAATAATATTAATAATAATAATAGCAACAACAATAATAATAACAAAAATAACATTGGTCTAAAGATAATAACAATACCAAGAACAATAACAAAACCATGTCCATTGCAACAAATGCTGAAAAGGTATGACTGAGAGAGGACGTCTTCACAGTGCAAGAGATTTATTTGACAAGTTCCAATTATATCTTTGTAAGAAAGATTTCTGTTGAAGATATAATCAAAACTAGTCAAATATATCCATTGTCATTCAACAGCAAGAATGATGATGATGATAAAAATAATAATAATATTAATAACAAAAGTAATAATAACAATAAAAAGAAAAAGAGCAATAACATAACATAATAATAATAACAATAACAATAATAATAACAATAATAACATTAATAATAATAACATTAACAAAAACAGCAACTACAATAATAATAACAACAACAACAACAACAACAACAACAACAACAACAACAACAACAACAACAACAACAACAACAACAACAACAACAACAACAACAACAACAACAATAATAACAACAATAATAACAACAATAACATCATTAATAAAAAAAATAACAATTATAATAATGATAGTAATAATAATAACGATAATAATAACAATAATAATTGTTATTATATAACGATAATAATAATAATAATGATATTAATAATAATAATAATAATAATAATAATAATTGTTATTATATAACGATAATAAAAATAATAATAATAATAATAATAATAATAATAATAATAATAATAAAAACGATAATAATAATAATAATAATAACGATAATAATAATAATAATAATAACGATAATAATAATAATAATAATGATAATGATAATAATAATAATAATAATAATAATAATAATAATATCAATAATAATAACAATAATAATAACAACAACATTACCTAAAACAACAATAATAAAAAATAAGAAATAAATAATAAAAAACAACTAACAATATTCAAAACAATAATAATAACAAACTCATAATTACAATAATAATAACTAGAACACTAACTCATCATCATTATCGGAAATAAAAGAATTACAACAACAATGGAAATCATTTAGGCAAGTATAATGATTATTAATATGATGATGATGATGATTATCATTATTATTATTACCATCAATATCATTATTATTGTTATTATTATTGCTGTTGTTATTATCATCATCATTACTGTTTTATTTTTATAATAATGAAACAATAACAACAATAATTACTACCATTACCATTATCATTATTATTATTGACAATACCCATAGCAATTACAATAACACTAACAATAGTCAAAATGATGATGATTGATGATTGATGATTGATGATTGATGATTGATGATTGATGATTGATGATTGATGATGATGATTGATGATTGATGATTGATGATTGATGATGATGATTGATGATGATGATTGATGATGATGATTGATGATGATGATTGATGATGATGATTGATGATGATGATGATTGATGATGATGATGATTGATGATGATGATGATGATGATGATGATGATGATGATGATGATGATGATGATGATGATGATGATGATGATGATGATGATGATGATGATGATGATAATGATAATGATAATGATAATGATAATGATAATGATGATGATGATGATGATGATGATGATGATAATAACAATAATAATGATAATAACAATAATAATGATAATAACAATAATAATAATAATAACAATAATAATGATAATAACAACAACAATAATGATAATAACAACAACAATAATGATAATAACAACAACAATAATGATAATAACAACAACAATAATGATAATAACAACAACAATAATGATAATAACAACAACAATAATGATGATAATAATAACAATAATAATGATAATAATAACAATAATAATGATGATAATAATAATAATAATGATAATAATAACAATAATCATCATAATAATAACAATGATAATGATAACAATACTATTATTATCATCATTTTCATTATCATAACAAAAATAATATATACAACAATAATGTTCATGATAAAATGAAAATACTTGTCTTTGGCAATAATAAGTGCAATTAACAATAACAGTAAAGCCCCCCATTTGGCCGCCTTAATCAAGAGTTACCCTGCATTGCATTCAGCGACCATATTTCACAGTTGCTGAGCATAATATCCAAACAATCAAATTACATGCAGTCTCCCCCTGCAGAAAACAACTCGCACTGACATATCCACTCCTGGCCTCCCTGTGTTGGCAAGCAGTGATTCATGTGTTTACCCTACATGTTTGAGCGTGTAAATTTCCAACGGCGTGACAGGAGTGTGTGAGGGAGAAAGGGTAGGGGGAGGCAAGGTAGTGAGTCCGAATGGTAATGTGAACAAAGGTACACATCAAAGTGAAAAGAAAAGAAGTATCACACAGGAAGGATACAATGGCTTGATAGAGGGGGGGATGAGAGTCAATGATGGTACTTGAAGAAACTACACATCCTAGAAGTAAGATATACAGCAAAATTGTGGATAATGCAAAATGCAAAATTGTATGGAGAATGCCACCTACTTTGTCTAAATATTAATTTTTTTCATAATCTTTAATTGTTCCTTCTTTCATTCTCAATTCATCTCCAAGTCACACAGCATAATTAACATACTAGCAGCATTCATTCAATAACTATGCATTAATTACTCCTAAAATGCTTGTCCCTACAATCCCATCGACAAAATCAATAACTGCCAGCAGCAGACCATAAACAAAACATGACAAACATTTAAAGGGATGATAATAATTAATAATATATCAAATAATTTAAGAGAGACACAAATACCTTATATTACTGAAAAGTCTCCCTAACATCATCCTTATGTTTCTGCCACCCTTGTCACTGATATCTTTGAACTTCCCCAAGAAAACCTGTACTGTCAATATACATATACAAGAATATTTCTCGCCCTTTTGGGAAATGAAAATGAAAATACACTGCCTCAAAATACATACCAGAGCATGTAGGCATTTACTCATAATGAACTTACTTATCATCAAAGATACTAAAAAATAAAAAATAATAAAATGCTTGTAATTTTCCAGAATGTACAAACTAGCATAGGTCAGGGTTCTCTGATAATACTATTTTAAACATAATACACCTGATCGTCTATCCTACAGTAGCAGCATAGCCTTATTCACAAACTTTTTTTGGCTAATCTTTTTCTTCAAATTATTTGTCATATAGGTAAATATGTTTGCCTATATGGACTCCATTCAATATTTCCTACAGAGAGGATACACATCTGAACCATAATTCATAGGATTAAGAAATTTTTGCCCAATTAAAAAAAAAAAAAAAAATGATAAGAAAAATAACCTTTAACAATACAAAAGATGTAAAATACATTAATACCATCAAGCCTTTTTTTTCTTTTCAAAAGAATAAAACACGCACATGTGCATACACGCATGCATCCACCCACACAGAGAGAGAGCTGTGTACAGCCACACATGCATTCACAATACTTTCCAACATTTTATGTAATGCAGTGTAAAAGACAAATCTATTTGTGCCTGTCACCGGACATATGACTGGATGTATATAAAACCGTATTGGTAAGAGCTTTCATTTTGAAGTGAAGGATCCCTTTAACCACCCACTCAAAACTTTGAATTAACATTTTCCTGATGAATAGAGGAGAATTTGAAGTATTTGAGTTGATGATACTTATAAAATAATGGATTTTTTTTTTAAGCTATCTAGCATTATATTATCTGAAAGGCAAAATATATAATTTATTATCATAAACATGGAAAGGAAAGCCAACACTCACCATGGACTTTGCTGTTACATTGTAGGGCAATAGATTTTTCCCGCTGACAGTGGTCTTGGCGGTGCTCTGGGGGGTTGAGGGATTGGGGGGCATCTGGGCATGCCCTGTCGTCACTCCTGGAGAGACAGTGGACATGTTGGAAGGCGGTGCCCCCTGGCTGTGGCCGCTGCTGCCCAGCTTGTTCTGCCACTGCGCCAGGCGGTCGCTTGGGGTGTTGGAGGAGTTGCTGGTGCTGCTGTGCTGACTCATGCTGCTGCTATGGCTGTAGCTCACTCCCGAGGCTACGCTCCGCACGGCCGACGAGGGATAAGGGGGGGGCGGTGGTGGCACTTGAGCAATCTGTCCAGTGATGATCGTGGTGGGTATGTATGACTGAATGGGCGTGATGCTCCTTACGACTGAAGACGAGTACGGCGGTGGCGGTGGGGGGGCAACGAACTGCTGCTGAGCCGCCCGGACCACAGAGGACGGATATGGCGGAGGGGGGGGAGGAGGAGCCCCACCACTCCTCAGCAGACTTTGCGGAGTCGAAGGGGTAGAAGGCGTCGAGGGCGTTGACGGAATGGGAGAATGCGTGCCCAAAGGTGCCTGGGAGTAAGTCAGGTTCAAATTCTGAAACTGCCGCACAAGAGACGAGGGATACGGAGGTGGGGGAGGAGGATCTGCCCCATAAACACTCTTTAACACTTCGATGTTTGCATAATTATGATTGGAAGTCACTAGCGGGTAAACCACAGACGTCGTGCGGGGAATTCCAAGAGACGCAGAGGAGTCACTGGCATCTGTGGACGACACGGAATTTAAACTCGGTGGTTTTCCAGGATATGGTGGTGGAGGGGGGAGGGCAGTGGGACTGGGTGTTGCTACTGGGGTGTGTGTGGGTCTCGTCAGGGTCAGTGACTGGGGGGGGGCGGGAGGAGGCGGAAGCGCGTCGTAATATAATCCTCTGTGTCTGACTGAGTCACTACTCACACTCCACTGCGAACTGTGTCGTGCATTTTCCTGAACATAAGCATTGTTTCTAGGGATCACAAATTGCTTTCCTTCCAAATCCTGTTCGATACGCGGTGGTAAATGTCTATTAGACAAAGTGGGCCTATGCAAACTTCCCTCTTCTAAAATGGTTTGACTGGCTAAACTTGTCCTGTCAAGACTAGAACCTTGCAAGGAATGTACAAAACTGCTTCTTGGGCTGGAATGCTTTGAGTCCTGTGAACTTATACTAGAGCGTGGACTGGCATACTTATTTTCTATGATGGTAGCAGCTAAACTACCTTGTGGTCCATAGTGGTGATAAGCATTAATATTTTCGTAAGTATGTAGCTGCCCTAAAAAATTAGGATTCACAACAAATTCATTGGAATGCTGAGTCAGAGTCTGCGGAACGGTTCGCGGATGCTGCGCGTGCTGCCCCGAGGCCTGAGAGTCGTGGCTGCCGCCGCTCAGGCTGGAGCGCGGACTCGAGTGGGCAGAGCCACTCGGGTTGTTCCTCCCGTAGATAGGGGGGGGCTCGTAGCGCACGTGGCCAGAGTAGAGTGACTGCCCGTTGACAGGCCTCTGGGGCGTGCCCCCGTTCGCCACAGGCCCGCTCTTGCCCGCGGCCGCTGCGGTGGGCGCGATGTGCGCGTAGCCCACGGGGGCGTGGGCGGTCACCTGGCCCGTGACCAGCCCGGGGGCCGAGGCGGACGACCCGCCGTTCACAGCCGCGCTCGACGACCCGCTCGACGACCCGCCCGACACCACCACGGGGTCGGGCTGCTTGGGCGTGGCGAACTTGGACGCCTGGATCACACTGCGCGAGTCGAGCACAGTGTAGAGCGGCGGGTGCGGCGCGGGCGCCTCCGTGCCCTCCTTCAGCAGGCTCTCGATGGCGCCGACGCGCGGCTGCGGGGCGGGGGCCGCGCCTGCGCCGCCCGCACCGCCCGCGCCGCCGCCCGCCGCCCGCGCCAGTATGCGGCCGTAGCCCGGGGCGTCCTGGTGCGCGGGGCCGGCCTCCCTGGGCGCCGCGCCGCCCTCGCCGCCCATGCCAGCGCCGGGGTGGGCGGCCTCGCTGCCCTTGCACAGGCTCAGAGTTTGTAACAGACGGCTGGTCTCGGTGGCAGCGTCGCTCCCATAACGGGCCATGGCTACGTCACGTGGTCGCCTCTACATCTTCGTGGAACATTTCCCTGGGGCCGCGTCGTCGTCCAGCCGCGGCGAAGGCGATGCTTTTCGACGCGATTCTCGGGCGACAAGTGTCATGGCGGAGCAATACACGCGACCACTCCAAACAATGGAACTTTGGATCGCATAAACAATCCTTTTCACGACAATTTCACAATAAAATCATAAGAGCAAAACTCCTGAACTTCGAAAAACACTATAAACAGCCCCAAATCCCCACGAATCCCTCCCAGTCCCGCAAATTTCTCGTACTACTTTCTTGGGAGAAATTCCTCGGGCAGATGGCAGCACCAGCGCATTGTTTTCCTTCTATCACAGAAAACGGACTTTTACCTTTGGGTCATTTTAGGGAGGGACTAATCTATTTAGTCTATTCATGTTATTTCTTTTTCACTTGTATGCAAAATGGACTCTTGATTTGCCGATACAAATGCATTTTGTAATATTGTTTTTCAAAGACTTTTCTAATTTGTGTCCATTTAATATTCTTCTTTTCCTATAAGATATTCACTGTTTTTTCGATATTAAGTTGACCTCAACAGACAGCTTTCCGTCTTACTGGTAGTATATCCAATACGGAGCGAATTATCGTCGATATTAATTTTCTTGTAATAATAATATAACTGTCTTAGTCTTTCCAATCTGGAGCATGTGCTTTTAACATATGTTCATTATTTATGGTGGATTTTCAATTGCTTACTAAACACATTAAAAGTCAAAATAATAATAAAATATTCGGGAATATATTAGTAAGAACTTCATTATTTAGCTTCTTTTGTCTTTAGCTCCTCTATGAATCTTATATAGCTTTCCAGATGTCGTACACGAAAATTAAATTATTTTCATCAGTCTCCCCTAAAGTTTCTGCGGTTTTCTCATGTCCTCGAGACCAACAACAAGGAACTTTCTAATCATCCGAGTTAGCTTTATTTGTTGGTATTACACTCATGGAAAGAAATTGACGATTTAAATATTAATTCAACAATTATTTCGAATAGAAGTTTTATAAAATATCGAAATAAAAACCATTTTTGTTCATGATCGTAAATGTTTTAATAATTCAAATTTGGAAAGAGTAAACATATATGTATTTTATAAACACATAATATTTATGATAATTTTACCAACAAGAAAAAACAAAATTATACAGTGGAAAACCTTATAAATGAAATTAAGTAATATTTCTCTTGTTTACAAACGGCCCCGAATCAGCTGTTCAACATGGCGTCCGCCGGATCGCTCGTCTCCCGTAATTTACGGAATATTGCAAGGCTCCCAGGAAACTGCAGAGCTCTCCAGACATCCAGTGTTGCAAGGGATGCTTCATCTACTCATACGGGACAGGTAAGAGCTCTACTGTCAGTATTTATTGCAAAGTCGTGGGATAATTGGGTCTGGGAACCGTTTGTAGTCGACTGCAATTCGTAGAAGATCGGATTTTTATATTGTTATTTGTATCCTTGAGGTTTCTACTGAATTTGAAAATCCAATTGAACAAGGATTGCACCGGAGTTTGGTTTAGAGGATGTCTATTGGCACCATTTTATTTTAGAGAGAGAGAAAAAAATATGTGCAAATGGCATGTAGCGCTTCCTCCGGGCAGTGTTGAATAGGGTCTGAATCTTGCGTAATTTGGAAGTAGTTGACAAATAGTTGGAATTAGTTATGTGGTCTGTGTGTACTTGATTTTGTAAACTTAAAAAGATTCAGTTGTAGTAATATATTTTGAATACTGATTATAAGGCACAGTGTGGGAGTTCATTCGTTTTTTTTGTTTCCAGTTTCGTGCAGTTTTTTTCGAATGAGAATATCTAATTTCCCTTTTAATAATTTGTGGGTTGATATGCTATATTTTCACCATTTAAGGCATACCCTATAGATAGAGCAATGAAATTGGTGCAATTTAAAATATTGTCCACAGTCTTGATGTGTTTGTTCTCCCCCATATTTGCACAATACATTCTAGCCATGTATTATCTACCTCGGGGACTGAACCCCCTCAGCCCCCATGATAACTATCCAGTCCGTGCTAAACATACACCCAGCCAAACATGGAATCCCGAGGGTAGTGGACCTGAAGCAGATGGGAGATGTTATTACTCCAGTAAGGCAAACTTAATCTTACTCTTTTGTATAAATAACAGGGCGATTAGTTAGTGACTTCATATAATTTGCTGTTTGTAAACTATATACTTTTTGTACAGCAATTCCAAACTTGCACTTTTCTTCAGCAAAGATGTTAGGAACGGTCAATAATGTTTTTGGTATGAAAACACCCGAGCAGAATACACTTTCTTGATGCAGAAGCTTGTCTTCTTATCAAGTGTCGATACAGCATGATATCATTTAGCTTTGAGTGGGATTCCATCATTAACATGTATTTTTATATATATATATTTTTTTCTTTCTTTCTTTCTTATTTTGTATTTGTATTTGACTCTTGCATGCATTTTCTTGACATTAGAAATGAGCTCTACAGGGAGGCTGAGATATTGAATAGTTCCTTATAAAGGCATGTAATTGGTAATCTACAGAAGCAAAGAATAACGGAACAATTGGAGATTAAAAGTCGTAGCATCAACCTCCTCGGGTTAAGGGGATCATTCTGGCCGATACTTACCTTGCTCCGGTCATTTATGTCATTAGATAGATTTCTATCTTTATTTATTTGTTATTTTATCATTATTATTATTATTATTATTATTATTATTATTATTATTATAGTTTGGAGGTATAGAACTACACTTCTTTACAGATATGATTTTTACCCAACTATTCCCAGGTGGGAGGGGTGGTATGGTACCCAAGTCTGGGATACCATCCACAGCTTGGATTTTTTTTCCAGTAACACATTATAGCTATTTCAACTTGATACTGTGGTCAGTTCTGGGGCCCCCCAGTGGGCAGCAAAAGTATACTGAGCATGGAAATTCTCCTTATTTTTTCATCTTGGCTTACGGATGGTATATTCTACGGTTGTTTATTGATGGAAATAAATCCCCTACCTTCAGTTAAAATTCTTATGATTGCCAGTTTCCTTCACCCTGGCCCTCAGCCAATTTTTTCCATGACACTGATGGAAGCAGGCCATCCCTGAGGAAGGGATGGCCTGCTTATGTCCCTACAAATACCCTGTAGCATTAGTATTATCCTTCTGGGATAGTATTGTAAAATCCAAGTGCCTTTAGTATTGATAATCAATATAGCCCCCTTTACAGTTGCTACAGTAGTATTTTTTTTCTCTCTCTCTTGCTGCAATGATGTGAGCCAAAAATCAGGCTCAACAGTTCTATGTTGTTTCATGTTACTGATGATATCTGCTCCTTTGCAGTGAGTACATTTATCAGCCTCAAATTGAACCTTGAAAAATGATGCATAAACACAACTTTAATTAGTATTTTACTGTAATTTTGTTTACATTGCGTGGAAAGCATCCTCACTCTTGTGTAGAAGAAAAAAAATCCATTGAATATGAATTGAGAGTCATTGCTTATATGGCAGTTGCTGTCAGGAAGATGCTGATTGCCAAGATTTACATCAGTTGGATGCAAATAGAGGGTAGCTTAATTTATTGTATGCATCATTTCCACCCTCATTAGTTCCAATTTGCCTTACTTAAAAAAGAGGCCTAGGAATTAGGTCTTTGTGAATAGAAAACGTACTTTTGAAATTCATTGATTGCTCCCTGAGAGGAGACAGTCCTTCAGGTATACAGGACTAGTGTTTGATTGATAGCCCTCATTTAGGATTTTAGATGCTATGGAACACTAGTCTGACAATTTGAGAGGATGTTAACCATTGTAATCGTAAGACAGCAAATGGAAAATCAAAATGATATCAGACATAACTGCTCTTTAGAAAGTTTTAATAGAATTCACAAATGAGTATAGTGGTACTAACAAAATTTGTGACTGGCAGGTTCTTAATATAATTCTTAAAAATCTTAATATCTTGACTTAAGATATGAAAAAGTCTGCAGTTAACTATACACAATATATTATAGTTTGGTTGTATGGTAGTGCAGTGTTGTCTAACTTTAAGTTAATGCACATCAGTGGGTAAGCAGCCCTTTTCCAAGGGGTACATGAAAAGGCAACACACTCACATGTAGGCCAACTTACACTTACATTCACGCACAATGTATTTAGCATAATAACTTCAACACTTCCACGTTTTTTTTTTCATTCATGTGAATGACTAGAGAGTATAGTAATGATATAGATGAATGAAGAAGGATAGGCGGGGAGATGGGAGTACTGACGTGAACTCAAGTTTTGCATATATAAATTTTAAAATGTTTAATGTTGTTTTAGTGTGTTCTCTTCCACTCCACAAAACCAATTATTGGCCAGCATTCACATTGTCTGTGTTCTTAATGTAATCTGCATTATCTTAACAAATGTAATTGTTTTCATCAGCCATGGAACATCATGGGAGGGAACTTTTTTATACAAGGATTAGGTACATTGGGGAACATAACAGAATGTGGGTTGTAATAGTATACTCATTCTTATGCTTGTCTGTAATGAAAACAAATGTATATTATATTACAGCACTGAAAAAAACAGGGTGGAGAAAGATTTCCGTGTGGAATGGATGTTATTACTGTTGTAAACCATAATATTGTGTTGGTTACTGCTAAAATTATGAACCTATTAGTAGGGTATACTTGAAAACTTGTGTAGTATACTAAACAAGGAAAAAAATAGTACTGCTGTTAATAAGTAATTCACTTTGTTATTGAAGCTATCATACTGTTCAACTTGTTTTACTATGAAATTATGGAATATAACAGAAAGTGCTGGAAGTAATGATAAATCTCATACACATCAAGATACAAAGCCTAGAGAGTATCATAAATGTTGCGAAGTAGTCAGGATACTCAAATATTGAACCAACCTGAAGAAATTTACCTGGGACCCTATGTAGATGATACTCATATTTGGTAAAATGGCTTTGACAGCACATGAAAATTCTTGCATAGATTTTAAACAGTATTCTTGTAGAATGTTAAAAGACAAATAGAATTCATGCTAAACAAAACTTTTCCTGTCTTATTTATCTGTTAAACTTTTATCCTCTGTATATTTTATAACCTTCAAAAAGAGTCCTGAAAAATCAACATTGTCAATGAATTTGCCCAGGACTCTCCAGCCCTATATATTCTTCCAACCATTTCAGAAATTTCCCGAGAACGACAACCGAAATGCCAGGTTCGTGATGACCCCCAGACAGACCAATCCGAGGTGGTCTATCAACCTGATCAAGGAAGTTCCTCCCAAGGCGGTGAATGCGCGCATCGTGGCTTGTGACGGAGGACCTGGAGCTCTTGGCCACCCCAGGGTCTATATCAACTTGGTGAGCGATTTTTTGGTGGTCTGGTTGTTGTTTATATGTATGGATATATATATCTTGTTTGTTCATTTCTTCTTTTGTTTGTTTTGATGTTTTTTGTTTTTTAAAAGTAAACCTGTGTGTGTTTTCCTCTTTTCTAATGATGTATTAAAATCCTATTTTCTTTCTTTATTTTATTTTGTGTATTTATTTATCTTTTTTTATATATATAATCATAAGGCTGACTTAATTTTTGTGGATCATATATGCAAATTTTTCCGAAAGTACATTACTTTGGTTTGGTATACATCTGTTGTTTTCAGCATATTAACCCATTGCCGACAGGCATGCCATGCCCACTGTGAGATTATATGTTTGATTGTTTTCACACACAAATGACTACACTTGTACTAAGTCACCAATGAGCCGGTTACGAGTACCGCCTGTCTTGCCCGTTCACCCTTTTCTTTGATTTACAAAATATTTTACTCTCTCTTATTTTGCTGTTACTAATGTTAAAAAACATTATAATAATTATAATGTTTATAATAAAAACACCATCGATATTCATGGCACTAGTGAAAAATACGTTTTTCCCGCCATTTCAAGTCAGGCACTAACAAAGCCATTTATGGGCAGACATTTGACAAAAAAAAATAAAAAATAAAAAATAAAAATAGGCACAGCATTTCCCCCGGCGGCAATGGGTTAAACATTAAAAAAAAAAGTTAATTATGATTTTGTATCCATTTTCTAGATATTACAGAAATAATTAATATTTTTTATTTGCTAGAAGAAATGTATAAATACCACTAATACTGATAAGGATACAAATAATGATAATAATAATAATAAGTGATGATAATGATAGTATTTGTAACATTAAAGATAATGATAGTAATGATGGCAGTATTATTAGTTTGAAAAAGTCTCACTTATTTTGTGAATAATGTCACATTGTTGCCTTTAATTATCACCTGTTGCCTTTCTTTCTAGGACCAGCCAGGAATTCACGACTGCATCTATTGTGGACTCCGATATTACAGGGAGGATAGCCATTAACATCATTATGGGCTTTTATGGGAAAAGCAGCATTATAGAAGCTGCTTTATCTCTGCCTTGGAAGCAAGAGAACTTTTTTGTTTTACCTTTGTAGGATTGTAAATAACTCTGTGTTAATAAACTATACATTAATGTTAATTTTTTTTTAAACCCTGTTTGTAGTTATTTTGTGTGAATTAGGACATGATTATCTGTCTTTAGGGATCGAAAAATCAGGGATAGTTTTATAGTATTTGTAGGTTCACTAACATTTCAGTGAGAAAGGGCTTATAAAATACAGATAGCTGGCATATCCCACAGGTGTCAGGTGTTCCTTAGCACATATGCTTGAAATGAACTCCACAGCTGCAGTTTACATGTAGTTTGAGGTCACAAAATTAGCCTCAAGTTAGATGAAGAGTTTTGAGAAGTTAAGCTGTTAACAGTAACAATGTATATATGCAGTATAAGTGAACATATCTAATCAGAAAACTCTGAAAACTGCTATGAATTTAGAAGTACCCCATCTTGATAAAATTTTTATTGTATTTTCATAAGGGGGGGTGAGACAAAAAGAACAGGTATTGATATAACTTTTATTTGGAAGAATAAGTTACTGAACATCCTCACACTCATCATGTACTCTTACAAACTGCAATTCATAAAAAAGATAATTTACAATTGCTTTTGAGTATTACAATATATAAATACTTCCGAAAGAGAAGATAAAGGGCAAATATTCCATTTTTTTCCAACCTACATAACAAAAATTCACAAAAGCAATAACTCTAGATCCAGACCAAAATAAATTATCGAGTTATCACACACCATCACACTTTGATCTCTTCACTGCATTTCATTTGTCAGTATCTTACCTCGTTCACATTCTACAAAAATAGATAAATTCACATTTGCACAATACATTTGTCAAAAGTAATCACGTACACAGAGCAAGGATTGAGTTTGGAAGTGAGCAATAGTTTCCTTGAATATACTTTCTTAAATACTGTAATTTGAAGAGAACATCAATGGTCATAAAAGCATATATTCCTACAGAAGCCAATCTCACCAAAAATAAAAACTGGTGCTAGGACTAGGCAAGTGAAATGGCCGTATGCCTAGTAATCAAATGCTCACTGTCAAAACTGGGCTGATCCACTGCTGCGTTTATCAATAGCAAATCTTTGGTCACTGAAAACAGTGTCTTTCAATCTTCACACAAAGTCATTTCACAACTACATTTAACCAGGAAATAATTTAAACAGACCTTATGAACAATAGATCAAAAATGAGATATTTACATCTTCCATTATGAAGAAAAAAAAAAAACAACTCCATAAAATATATTACCGTTTCAACATCTCATTCTGGTGAAGGATCTTCCTAGTTGGAATGACTAATATCAAACGTGACATTCTGATATTATATATGAGCTCCCCCTGCTTCCACAGGAGAGAAATTGACAAGAGCACCCTTATGAGCTATATATGAGTACCAGATGGATGTGATGTCTAATATCAAACGTGACATTCTGATATTATACATGAGTCCCCCTGCTCCACAGGAGAGAAATTGACAAGAGCACCCTATATTAATGAGGCTGACATATATGATTATAAAACAAAAGAAATGGATGTGATGTGGATCTGAATTATGAAATATGAGATCTGACAAACAGGTTTCTTCATACAGATTGTCAAAAGTACTTTGCAATGTGTTTGCTATGAAGAATCACTGCTAAGGTCTCAAATGTTAAAAAAAAAAAAAAACAACTCCATAAAATATATTACCGTTTCAACATCTCATTCTGGTGAAGGATCTTCCTAGTTGGAATGACTAATATCAAACGTGACATTCTGATATTATACATGAGTCCCCCTGCTCCACAGGAGAGAAATTGACAAGAGCACCCTATATTAATGAGGCTGACATATATGATTATAAAACAAAAGAAATGGATGTGATGTGGATCTGAATTATGAAATATGAGATCTGACAAACAGGTTTCTTCATACAGATTGTCAAAAGTACTTTGCAATGTGTTTGCTATGAAGAATCACTGCTAAGGTCTCAAATGTTAAAAAAAAAAAAAAACAACTCCATAAAATATATTACCGTTTCAACATCTCATTCTGGTGAAGGATCTTCCTAGTTGGAATGACTAATATCAAACGTGACATTCTGATATTATATATGAGTCCCCCTGCTCCACAGGAGAGAAATTGACAAGAGCACCCTATATTAATGAGGCTGACATATATGATTATAAAACAAAAGAAATGGATGTGATGTGGATCTGAATTATGAAATATGAGATCTGACAAACAGGTTTCTTCATACAGATTGTCAAAAGTACTTTGCAATGTGTTTGCTATGAAGAATCACTGCTAAGGTCTCAAATGTTAAAAAAAAAAAAAAACAACTCCATAAAATATATTACCGTTTCAACATCTCATTCTGGTGAAGGATCTTCCTAGTTGGAATGACTAATATCAAACGTGACATTCTGATATTATACATGAGTCCCCCTGCTCCACAGGAGAGAAATTGACAAGAGCACCCTATATTAATGAGGCTGACATATATGATTATAAAACAAAAGAAATGGATGTGATGTGGATCTGAATTATGAAATATGAGATCTGACAAACAGGTTTCTTCATACAGATTGTCAAAAGTACTTTGCAATGTGTTTGCTATGAAGAATCACTGCTAAGGTCTCAAATGTTAAAAAAAAAAAAAAACTGAAAAAAATCTTACCTGTATGAAACAGTCTGCAGTACTAGCATACACCGGGGACGTACAAACAGCACCATTGCCACTTACTGCGGCTGGAGCTTTAAGTTTTCTTTGGTTCATCAGGCGTGTCTGAAATAAACAAATGTGAATGAAGTTTTAAATACAATTATACTTAAACTCCCTCACTCTGTAAATGAAAAGCATTCAATTCACAGCAGCCATAACCCAAAGAAATAAATATAAAAAATATCAATCTTGAATCCACACAATTCTCACCGACACCCAAATTGCATTCTCGAAAGCAGAGACACCTACCCTCACGACGTCCAGTGGCGTTGATGCAACTGCACCCCCCAGGCTAGATATGAAGCTCGATCTGTCATGAAAGAAAATGGAGGGAATTACACACAGGTAAACTCCCTCGTTTATTCCTCATACATGAAAGTATTTGCATATCTTAGAGGTATTTCCTTTGCCTTCCATATTTTTCCTTTTCATACATGTGCTTTCCTTAGTTGTAGATATCCATATATGAGTTTTATTTGACTTCTCACTGTCTGATTAACAATGGAAAGAAATAAACTGTGCCTATAGCATGCATTTAACTTGGCTTGAGAAAATTTATAAAAGTTTCAGTGACAACATGCTCTTTCATACTGCATATATATACATATATGTAAATAGACATATATATATGCAATAAATGTGTAAAGACCTTCCATTCATTGCATAGTATGGTTATTTGCATATTCAAATGACATTTTCCATAAGCAGGAGTTTCAGCAATTATTATGGTGACATACTGTAGACTTTCCAGTGGAAAAAAAGTATAAATAAAGGAAAAGAGCATTTGCATAAGAAACTTAAAGATAAATATAAATCAGCCAGTGAGATGTTTGTATCAAAGACAAACAATAAACAGCCAATTGAACAATTCATTTCCTTTTTTTGTTGTTGTTGTTGTTTTTTTTATTTTCCATATCAGATTTATAATTTAATTCTCATTATGATTATGATGATGATATGAAAGATGAAGAGAATGATGAAGAAAAAATAAATCAGCTTGTTGATGTATGAAAAAAGAAAACAAAAAATCCATCTACATCTCACGCAAGTAAAAGAAAAGGCAGAGTTCAGTAAAATTTTTATCAGTCATATGAATGATGCAACTACACACACAAATTCAGCTCCTTAAAAATCTATGAAATACTGCAGTAAGGGTTCACAAGGAGGTCTTAAGCTAACTTTAATTTAGAAATATATGATGTAGAGTCTGGATTGATTCCTTTCAATATCAAGTAATCAAGGAGAGACAAAACACACTTCCATCATTGGCCATACGAGCTAAGAACAATTGACGCAAAAATAAACACATTAAACAATGTAGAGAAAGAGAGAGTTAGCACGTATTTCTTAGCATCTTCAAAAGATTATAAGATCAAATATTGTCAAGAAGTACACTTGGGGAAGAGCAAGACACAGCTAACTAGAGTCAAGAAGTCCAGAGAAGAGAAGCAATATACAGTGTAATTTGATTATGGAGGCAATGGATGTGGTGGTGAGGCACTAATGATGAGGTTGGTACAATACAGGTCAGGTTATCAACGTTACATGGGACAAGTCACTCCCGAGAATCATGGCGGTTCCTCAGCTCAGGGCCCCACAGTCCCACAGGACTGGGGACCCATGCCGGGTTAGTGGTCTGGGACCGGGGATTTGGGATCCGTTGCCAGGGCCCGAAGGACCCTAGATTCATCCCGGACATGCGTTTGCGAAACATCTGGAATGGACACACGTGAAACCAAGGTGGTCGCCTGTGACGCACCACCAGGAAAAGCATATGAATAGACACACACTAACCATGATTTACTCAAAGAATTGCCCAAACAAGGCCTAGATTTCTCCTACAACCACTACAGCTTACACTATCCCAACTTTGGTCTACCTCTGTATCCCACACTGAATTGAAGTCTCACGTTAACTTTACCTATCCGAACTAGTCAACTAGTGAAGCTTCATTCATCCAGTCTTTCACTCTGCATGGACTGTAAACTTCACACTTCATTAATCATTACATTTCTAACAAAGCAGGTTTTACAATTAGTGTGAAGTTAATTTGTTAATGAGGTAGTGAAAAACAAAATCATATTAGCACTGATTAACACTCATCATGGATAGATGATCATCAGGGAATTTTCTCAATGTGACTATAAACACATACTTTTATGCCATCTGAGGTTCTTGACTACTAATCAAATGAATTTGATACAAGACTAGAATCATCCCTTCATCTATTGTGAGAAATCAGTATGTAATGTTTCTTTGAATTTCAGTTTCCCAAATGGAACAGAGGCCCCTTACTTTACTCTTAGGAACCTGCATTCAATATCAACAGTGTGAATGAACTGATCATTCCTGGACAAAAAGAGTACTCTAGAAACTTTTCCCAATCAAAGACAGAAAGGTCTGTGTAACAAACAAGCGGACACTTGGCACCATCCATAACAGTTTATACTAATTGTAACAAAAGTCAGCAACAATCACTGATGCTGATGCTCATCTGCATCCATTAGGTAACACCTAACTATTTAATATTATCCTAAGGTCATTTCAAACACATCACACAAAAAATAGCAAAAGCATCGGATCACCTACAAGAAATGGTTTGTAGAATTATCTGGCAGCAAGTTCATCTTGATGAAATAGTGTTTGCACATGTCGTAAATTGGCAGCTCTACTCCCACGATAACCCCTGCTCTCTGCGCCGTCGGGCAAACTCCCTGTATGGAAAAGATATGGGTACATAAATGAATCTGGATGACTCTGCCACTGTAAAATAAATACCAAAGATCAAATACAATTTACAATATCTTCATTTAATTCCTTTCAAAGAGTATGTTACACCAGCTTGAATTTTAGATGACTTACCCTCCATAGGCCCTGTATTCCCTCCTGGTTATAAATACTAATAAATGCCTGAAGGAGAGACTTCTCCTTGAAGTCGGAACGCCCACTCTGTAACCTGACTTTCAGGACGTCTGTGGGGTTGGCCATAGCACTTGACACCACACCTGAAAAAAATATCAATATATTAAGGGCTACAATACAGATGATAAGATGGAGAACATAAGTATACTGCAAGGTAGTTAACTTATCCACAATTTCTATGCTGATTTAGAAAATGATATACCATTTTTGGGTAAATGGTTAATACAATCTTATCCCACTTAAAGTGCATACTAAAAAGTTTTGAAGCTGAGAATGAGGCACTGATCTGTGATACGACCATCACAATATCATACATCTGATGTGTGTATCCTCTTTGATGCAAATCACCAGGGACTGGAATATCATTCTGAAGATTTTGACATTATTCTAACTCATAACTTTTTACACTTGTACTGTGGATGATACAAGGCAGAGATATCTTTATCTGATATGACAAATGTAGAGAATTTCAATACCTGCAGTGACTGCACAAAAAACGTTGATGCCCAATCTCTCTTCATTGGGATTTTTTGTCAACATCTGCTTCAGGGAATAATAAATGCCAAATTTGATGGTTCCATATGTTGCCTGACGGAGGACAGCTGGAGCAATACTGTAATGAAAGAATAATAAAATCAATATCCACCACTTTTGCATTTCCTTTATTCTATTTCATCCTCACTGGCTTTCATCTAAACATATTCAAAAGTTATCACAATGCAAACCCACACTCTATCTCTCAACTAACACCCCCCCGGGCTACAAACACCTCGACTACAACATAAGAGTATCCGCTAAAGAACCCACTTACCCAAAATACAGTGCCCTGACGCCTTCCTCACTCGATATCTTGAGAAGAGCATGGATCATGCCCTTGTATCGCTTGGCAACAATCTGGCCCCCATCGCTGCGGGCTCCCTGGATCTGCAGCCGAGTCTTGGTGGTGTCGATGGGAAACGTCCCTGTGGGAGAACACGCGCTTTAGTTAAGGAATTCGTAGATCCAGAAATACGTATATAAATTGGATATATTTAGGTATGAAAGTATTGACATACAGAGTAGGTATATGTATATGTATATGTAAGTGTGTGTGTGTGTGTGTGTGTGTGTGTGTGTGTGTGTGTGTGTGTGTGTGTGTGTGTGTGTGTGTGTGTGTGTGTGTGTGAGCATGTACATGTGTGTGCACACTCTTGCTAACAACCACTCACACTTGGGTCTTCCTTTAATCTACATCATATAAACTTCATAATTGTTCACCCAAACCACCTAAATTCACTACCATTATCCCCACATCCTTATTTTCCTAAGCTCACGTTTACCACCCTTATTTTTTCCCTTCATACTGCACACATTCACCGAATATACTCTAAGAGACTTAACGTAACGTAGTAGAAGAACAAGAAAAGAAATAAGTAAATAGAAAAGACTAAGAGAATAAATAAAAAAATGAAAGCGACACACACCAACGAGATCTTTGTGTAACACCTCAAGTGTATATCAGGAAACCTATCAATGCTCTCTATCTATAACTTCCTCTGTGTCTATACATATAGTCACCAGCCATCGCCTTTTGCTGAATTTCACAATAGACATCACACACACACACACACAAACAAACAAACAAACATACATACATTACTTTATATATATATATATATATATATATATATATATATATATATATATATATATATATATATATATATATATATATATATATATATATATATATATATATATATATATATATATATATATATATATATATATATATATATATATATATATATATATATATATATATATATATATATATATATATATATATATATATATATATATATATATATATATATATATATATATATATATATATATATATATATATATATATATATATATATATATATATATATATATATATATATATATATATATATATATATATATATATATATATATATATATATATATATATATATATATATATATATATATATATATATATATATATATATATATATATATATATATATATATATATATATATATATATATATATATATATATATATATATATATATATATATATATATATATATATATATATATATATATATATATATATATATATATATATATATATATATATATATATATATATATATATATATATATATATATATATATATATATATATATATATATATATATATATATATATATATATATATATATATATATATATATATATATATATATATATATATATATATATATATATATATATATATATATATATATATATATATATATATATATATATATATATATATATATATATATATATATATATATATATATATATATATATATATATATATATATATATATATATATATATATATATATATATATATATATATATATATATATATATATATATATATATATATATATATATATATATATATATATATATATATATATATATATATATATATATATATATATATATATATATATATATATATATATATATATATATATATATATATATATATATATATATATATATATATATATATATATATATATATATATATATATATATATATATATATATATATATATATATATATATATATATATATATATATATATATATATATATATATATATATATATATATATATATATATATATATATATATATATATATATATATATATATATATATATATATATATATATATATATATATATATATATATATATATATATATATATATATATATATATATATATATATATATATATATATATATATATATATATATATATATATATATATATATATATATATATATATATATATATATATATATATATATATATATATATATATATATATATATATATATATATATATATATATATATATATATATATATATATATATATATATAGAGAGACAAAAGAGAAGGAAGAGGAGAGACAAAAGAGAAGGAAGAGGAGAGACAAAAGAGAAGGAAGAGGAGAGAGAAAAGAGAAGGAAGAGGAGAGAAAAAAGAGAAGGAAGAGGAGAGAGAGAGAGAGAGAGAGAGAGAGAGAGAGAGAGAGAGAGAGAGAGAGAGAGAGAGAGAGAGAGAGAGAGAGGAGGAAGAGGAAAGAGGAGGAAGGAAAGCTTGATAAGACAGACTAGACAGAACCCAAACTAAAGATAAGATAAAGAGTGATAAGACACAAACAGAAAACTCAATGGCAAGGACAAGACACAAAAAATGCAAGGTCGCTCAACATGCAACAAGAGGTTCATGCCCTCTATTGACACCCCATCCCAATTCCCAATCATTGTGCCTAATTGCAACTGGATAAACGAGAAGAAAGAAACAAGACAGACAGATAGATAGATAGATAGATAGATAAATAGAGAGACAGAGATAAGAGAAAGAGAGAGAAGAGAGGAGAGAAGTGGAGAGAAGACAAGACAATTGAAAAGAGTAGAAATGAGACAAAAGGAGAAGAGAAGAGAACAGAGAAGAGGCAGCGAACAGAAAAGAAAAGTGAAGAGAAAAAAAAAAGAGAAAGACAGAAACGTGAAAAAAACAAAAACGGGAGGAAGGGAGAATCCACAGAGATCGAATTAGCAAGGGAGACTCCCAAAAGAGGCAGCCGGCCCTTGGTAAGGCACAACGGCACCTCAAGAGCTTCACTCCCTCACCCAATTGCATTTTCTCCAGAGATAATGAAGATGAACCACAAAAGAGGTCAAGGAAATCACGAATGGAAGAATATAACAAAAGAGGGAGGAAGATCAATGACAGAATTACTATTACATAGTAACTGATTATAAGAGCGGAGACTGGGTCAAGTCGTAAATAAGCAATTATAAACAAATATACATACATACATTATTTATATACATACATACATTACTTTATATATATATATATATATATATATATATATATATATATATATATATATATATATATATTATATATATATATATATATATATATATATATATATATATATATATACATATATATATATATATACACACACATACATATATAGACATTGTATATATATATTATATATATTGTTTATATATATAGACATATAAACACACACACACACACACACACACACACACACACACACACACACACACACACACACACACACACACACACACACACACACACACACACACACGTCTACTAAACATATATGAAGAAATAATATAGATCTTGCAAAAGCTGATAAACCAATCGGTCTTCAAGAGAAGTCAAGATTCAGAGGACGGGTGTTGACATAAATCCGAATAAAATTATCCAACATAAAAAAGACAAATGAATAAGTAAAAAAAGAAAAAAAAAGCCTCACTCAACGAGAAGTCACAACGAGATAAAAGCTTCGGTTTGGCACCCATAAAGCTAGGCATCTGACACGCTTGGTATCTGTAAAAAATACCAGAAGCAGAGCATGGAAAAAAAAAAAAAAACGACAAACATTCAGCTACAGAAAGGAATGGAATTTTTTCCCCTCCATTCGAAAGTGGCACGCAGATACAAACAAACAAACAAAAAACAAAAAAAAAGAAGCCACACAGGACAGGCAGAGAACATGTGCCCGAGAAACGTGCCAACCGCGGTCAGCCGTTCAACAAACTCACACTGGCGGCATCTGCCAAATGCAAATGTCAACCGAAAAAAAAATCACATACGTGAAATACCAATTACTTAAACGTCTTCAAAAAAGAAAAAATGAAATAAATAAAAAGATACATAGATAAACAGATAGATACATACATAAAGAAAGAATAACAACATTAATTCATTTAAGAAACACGAAACCATTTATCTCGTGGAACGTGGAACAAACGAGAGAAACGTAATACACAAATACGTAACATACAGTAATGAACCGACGGCCGCTAACCTCTTCGGACTTGGAGCTGGAGGCCGTTAACGAATATTAATTCAACCAATCGAATCTCAAAGGGAAGGAAAGAGAGAGAGATAGGGAGAGAGAGAGAGAAAGAGAGAGCACTGACCTGCAGACATCAGGACTCGAATCTTTCGTTGCACAAGCCGCGCCATCCTTTAAGCAAGCGATTCCGAGAGAATTGCAAGACGGGCTCATAACAAGGTCAAATTGAACGATCAATTGGAATAACTAAGATCCCCCCCCCCCAAAAAAAAAGAAAGAGAAAATAAAAAGAAGAGAAAAGAAAAATAACTCCCCAGGGTATCAAGCACCGAATTATGAAACCTCGAAACACTCAAAGATAAAAAAAATTGCTTCAGTTTTAACCTTACGCGACACATTTTTCCGAATCGCAAATGACTTCCGCAGTTTTGAGGGAATGGTATTGCAGTCATTACATTGGGGGGGGGGGGGGGGGAGAGGGAGAGGGAGAGAAAGAGTGTGTGCGTGAGTGAGAGAGAGAGAGAGGTAGAGAGAGGTTGTTGTCCTCTGTTAGCTACACCCAAGGGGGACTGCCTGCACGCATGACGACTTGGCGGGGAGAGTTATGTTATTAGTGTTCGATAACCTCCCTTTCTAACCTACATTCCTCCACGCTCCCCCCACCCTTTCCCTTTCTCTTTCCCTTCCGCGCTCTTTCTCTCGATCTTTCTCTCTTACTATTTCTCTCTCTCTCTTACTATTTCTCTCTCTCTCTTTCTATTTCTCTCTCTCTCTTTCTATTTCTCTCTCTCTCTTTCTATTTCTCTCTCTCTCTCTCTATTTCTCTCTCTCTCTCTCTATTTCTCTCTCTCTCTTTCTATTTCTCTCTCTCTTTCTATTTCTCTCTCTCCCTATTTCTATTTCTCTCTCTCCCTATTTCTATTTCTCTCTCTCCCTATTTCTATTTCTCTCTCCCTATTTCTATTTCTCTCTCCCTATTTCTATTTCTATTTCTCTCTCTCTCTCTCTCTCTCTCTCTCTC